GGTTGTGGAGACAAGGCTTTGTTCCAGTGTATTTGTATGCCGTTAAGTATACATGATCAATTTTCAGCTGAATGGGTACAATACTGTAGAATAAGTTTTGGTGCGATGTGGCAGTGGCACACATGTGTCATTCATTGTGTGTTACAAAAGATGAACATGCGCCGTGTTCATACACAGAATTTGGGACAGAGCAGGGGTGTATATCCAGGTTTTTCTGGATAAATGGAGAACAGAAGAATACAGGAAATTCTGAAACAAGTGCATTATGTAAATTAATAGTCCCACATTTTGAATGGGAAAAAAGAGATCAGCTGAAGCGAGTGATTCCATAAACTGTAAAACATGGTATTCAGACTAGAATAAGGAAATGTGCTTTCCTACTGTTTCTTTCCTGATTGACCTTCCATCTTTAATAAAAGAAGCTAATTGGGGTATGTCTCTTTTCTTTCTGCAAGGATTTTTCTCTCTTTTCTGAGGCAGTTAATGCTGCACACGTTGTAAATCAAAGAATGAGATCCAAAAATCATTCACCCTTGTCTCGCTTCGGAAGACCGTATTGAGTGTCTCACTTTCCAGGACAGGCAACATTTTGGATAGCAATACCACCTTTCCCCTGCCCACACCTTTGGTGCACATGGCAACCTGTTGCCTAGTTTTCACAGCTGCGTTTGTAATAAGTACATGCACTTTCCAGCAAGCAGATGCAAAGTCATTTTCCTGTACACTGTGAACAGGAATAGGAACGATTTTAAAATCACTATTCATTAACTAAAAGAATCTTTTTTTAATCTCATGAGTCAGGTGTTTTGCTGAGAAGTACATGTATTCAGTATTCACTAGACTAACTGTCATGGCTACTGGGTTTGCAAAACTGAAACTTGAATGGGTCATGTGCTTCATCTTCCCTCTTTATTTCCATTTTAATGCCGCTCTGCAAATAACATTGATTTTGAATACATTGAGCCAATGAAAACACCAGAATAGAAACCAACCATCAATTGTGCAGGTTTTTAACCAAAAGTGAATAAGGGTTGAATTCCCTGTTGACACTCAGGACTCATGGCATGGGTCTCCTTTCAGTGGAGAGCCAAGCACTTCACATTCCATGCCCAGCATTAAGAAGATTAATTCAAGAAGCCAGGAGTGTCGATTAAAGACTTTGGACTGGAAGCCAGCCAAATGGCAACAACAAAAAGGTGATTTGAGATCAATAAATTGATAATTGGCTGTCTGGATGTGAATTAAATGGGCACAAAGCTAAGAACAGCTAAAAGATGCGTCCACATAGGCATATAGATACGTATGCCAGGCGAGTAAACTTATGACTAGATCAGCACGTGCTTGACTACAGACTACTCAGTAGTGGACAAAAGTTATTCTATTGTATTGTCATTTCTTCTATTTGCTAAAGTGAATTTTCTGGGGAGATTCCATTTTTCTACAGAAAACTTAATTGTTAAAAATGAAACTAGGAAAAAAATGCTTTTAATTCAGTGTTAAAATGTTAGCTTTGACTAGTTGGTTTTTTTCTTGTTCTTTTTAAAATGCATTGTATCAATGTTTTCTGCAAACTGTGGACATGATTGTTGTCTATTTGTAAAAACGATATGGATAATTAAACTTGTGGACTTTGCATCATGTCTTCACCAGTAAATGTTTAAATGAAGATAAAAATCTGTATATTTGGTACAAACACAAATGCATCTTTCTGGCTTACTGTAGCTGGTGCACATTGCAAAACTATTTTAAATTTCACTGGTTTTGTCCATCATCAATGGCAGCAGCTAATTTCATGAAACGTGGCATAACTTTGAACCATGCGTAAGTCTTGCGCTCAAATTTATGGCGTAGCTGCACAATTTGCTTACATTCCATTCCACTAAAAGCTGCATAGCAGTGCCACGTTTGAATAATATTAAATTTCTTGGACGAGGACAAAAATGGCTTTTACAATGGCTTTTCCTTTGTAATATAACAGCAGTCATCAAACAGTCGTTGAATCACATCTGCCCGCTAGTTTGAAGAAGTTTTCGTCCTGTCTTAGTCGGAACCGGACAAAAGTCTCACAGTTTTCTCACAGCCAAACAAGTTTATTATTACCTACCGGAACAAAGTTGTTCGTTTCTCGTATGATCCTTAATAAGTTCAGCAATGATGAGGCGTAACCAGTCTCGATAAGCAAGTCAAATAATTCATTTTCATTTTGTCTGGTGCAACTTACACCACCTAAAATGACTTCGTAAGTTACGCCATAATTTGTTGCGTAAGTTTCGTGAAATTGGTCTTAATTTGTTGCATAACATATGCAGTAAAAGATGGCATAAGTGGAATTACGCCATTGCGTAAAGTTTCATGAAATTGGCTGCTGGTTATACAATGTACCATACTTTAATAGCATGTGAGAACAAATTCACTACATACAGTGTACATGTAGCTTATCCATGTCAGATTTAAACTTTCAATGCCCTGATTGTGGGCTCAACAAATTCATCTCCCAATTTACAAAGTCATCAATAATCAGTGATTCACAACTTGAATTCACTTGCTAAATGTTATTTCTTTTACTGTATTAATGACAGTGCTGTCTTGTGCACCTCAAGTGGTTAAAACTGTATGAATTTTTTTTTAACCCCATTTGCAGAAAATGCATGGAATTTGTTTCTTTTGTGACATACCTTTTTATCATTGCAAATTAATTCAAATGTTGCGGGCAGTTTTTACCCTGGAGAGAAAAGTGTCAGCAGTTAATTTTTTTCCCCTGTTTTTATTTTAACGTTTTCGTGCTGATGTGTAAATGTACCACAGAAGACATTTTCCCCTTGGTACACTTTGCCCCCCAATACTACTGGTCTATACCCGTAGTATTGGTCTAATATGGACTGTACATGTACTTCACCCTTCCTCCTAATTATCGATTCCAGGGTGTAATGAACGGCAGGGCATGGTGGGTGGTAGCATTCACCCTCCTTACAGTGCATTCTAATTGATATCCCTCCAAACATTTGCCTCAGGCTATGTATCGACTCATCCGAGAGTAGCTCGCACCCCTAGCCCTCACTTCTCTTGGTCCTTTTTATGGGCCTCTCACCTCTTTAGTTTGGAGCATCCTGTTAAGCCAATGCTATGGCTTGGCTACATCTATTTATGCATGTCCCCCAGCCACATACTGTATTTCCAGTTGGCAAAGATCTAGACCTAGCCCCAAACAACAGATTTTCAGACAGCTTTTCTTTCGTAATGGTTTTTACATTAGGGGCTTAGTCGAACTTCCCAAGGCAAAAACAAGGAGATTCGTTGAATTATGCATTAAGCTCAATCGTTCTGTTTTGCCAATAGCCAACATAGCATGTCAAGCTAACGGAAACACAATCTGTTTCCTTCTTATCCTGTCTACTTAAATGTAAAGAGTACCTGGTGTCGACCACAGTTTCAATTTACAATTTGATGAGACCGATCGCTTACATCCCACCCCTAGATGACCAGTATAGACATATATGTACTAGGATGCTACCGTGTGTTGGCTACGGAAAACAAGGGGGATCTGGATACTTTGTATGAATAAAGAATGTAAGATTCAGTGGATGATCCAGTGCATATGGACCAGATAGTTTGTCAAATCAAATTCTTTGGGGGATCTCAGTTCTGATGATGCAGGTCAAATGGTGAATAATTTGCGATGCAATATCACACTCCAGTATGCAACAATCCAACGTCCACTTGTAATGAAGAAGTTTTGTTCAAGCCATGAATAATTGATGCAGTGTCCCACCAAAGTTAAAGAAATCCGTCAATATTTTACCTGTCGTTTCCCATGTAATCCGGAGCGTAATCCCCACGGAGTCAAACACGAAGTCCGTGAACTGAAAGGCAGGCAATTAAGGAGGATCTTAATGGGCAAGTTGGACTGGAAGGTTCCTCTGACAGTCCTCCCTTTCTCCTGCCCGGAGGGGTGTCATTGTGAAGGGTCACAGTTAGCTATTTATCAGGCAGTCTTAACAATAGTTTTGACAGCCAAGCATAGTCCTGCAAAGTAGAAGGGAGTATAGTGCTGAGTACAGCCCTGGATAATAGTTTAGATTGCTAACATATATACCCCACTTTCTTTCGAGGTAGTTTCCAGATATGGCAATGCTGTTGAGGCACCTTTTGTTTCTACAATTTCACTGAAAGCCTGTGATGGAAATTAGCAAGTTTTTTTGTTTAAACTTGTTCATGTGTATGATGCATTGCTTGGCATGTTTGGATTTCTTTTTACAACTCAAATGTTCTGTTTATTCTTATAGAAAAAATGAAAAATGGACCTCATTATATCTTTAGACGTTCAGCTGATTTCAAGAAACTCTACACAATGGCTTAACTCCACTTAGGCAACATTATTTGTATTGCGTAAGTTGCGCAACAAATCAAGACCGATTTCACGAAAATTACACACTGGTTGAGTCAGCGACTTGTGCAACATATTCTGGCATAACTTACGTAGTCATTTTAGGTGGCGTAAAGTGCACCATCAAAGATAAACAATTTGACTAGCCTATCATGTTCAGTTAAGCCTCATCGTTAAACTTAATAAGGCTTATACGAGAAAAAAACAACTTTGTTGTAGAAGGTAATAAGAAACTTGTTTTTCTGTGAGAAAACTGTGAGATTTTTTGTCCTGTTCCCATGAAGAAAAGATGAAAACTTTTCAAAATGGCGGGCTGAGATGATTCAATGACTATTTTATGACTGCTGTTGTAGTGGTAAGGAACAGCTGTCATGAAAGCCGTTTTTGTCCTTGTCCAAAAAATTCACTATTATTAAAACGTAACGTAAGTATATTGCCCAGCTACAGCATAACTTTGTGGCACAAGGCTTCCGCTTGGTTCAAAGTTATGCCACATTTCGTGATATCGGCTGCTGGGTCCTAACTTTCCAAATTCACTGTCTTAATTCCACCATTTAATGAACATTTTCACAGTATAGAAATGTATATCTGAATTCTTTTTGTGCTTCTGTTTCAGATAAAATTCTTCTGGCAGATGAAGAGCGCCCTTTAGATATCGCTGTCAACAGTGGTCACAACGTGCGATTTGTCCTCAAGATGGAGCCTCATCACCAAGACAACCAACATACCGGCAATCCCGGCAGTGCAGCCGCTCAGCACAAATGTCTCTCGCAGTTCTTTGGCGTGAAGAGCGCCGACTTGACCGTGCCATACTACACAGGCTCGGTCGCCGCGAGCCCCATCTCCAAAGCCAAGCTGGGGTCGCCGTCATTGTCATCCAGGGTCAGCAAGAAGCTTGGCTCAGTGGACTCGGCCAGTCTCAGCAGCAACGGTAGCACCAACAGCAGCGGCCCACCATCGGGCAGTTATAGTAAGCGGTCCTACAGTGCAGGCAGCATCGGAAATGGGGGCATGCCAGGCTTGCTGCTCAAGGCTGAAACACCCACCTTCATCAGGAGGTTCCAATCCAGGGAAAGAACCTTAAGGAACTTCATCAAGAAGGATAAGGGAAGTTCAAGGAAGATGCCCTCCAAGGAACTGAGCCCAAAACACAGGTCCCGGGCCAAGTCCCTGTCCAGCGTGTTTGAGAAGGGCTTTACCCTCCTTAAGAAAGATGACACCTTGAATCCAGCCAAGGAGGCAGATGCTGAAGATTCATCTCCAGGCTTGCTGAAGATTTTTGGTGACAACATCTGCCCCAACACAACCTACAAGAGTGTCTTGGCCTCGGCACAATCATCAGCAGTTGCTCTCATCAAAGTGGTACTTGAGCGTTTCTCATTGCCCATCGACACCTTTGGGGAGTATGTTCTTTGCGATGTCATTGGCAACTATAAGGCCAACCCAGAGAAGTCCTCTCGAGTTCTTGGGATCTCTGAAGACTTTGAAGAAAAACAGGAATGGATGACCGAGTGCATGAGGGTCATAGGAGACAACGAGAGACCCCTAGCCATTAAGTCCTACTGGAAGCCGGAAGTGGGCTTTGCTAGAAGATTTGAGATCAGACGCCGCAGCGACATTGCCGTCCCAGATGCTGACACGATTACACTCGGCATCAACCTGAACGCGAAACGGCTGCAGATGTCCAGAGCAAATCGGGCATCTGCAGGTGCATCCCTGGCACGCTTTCTAGAAGAACAGGACCAGACACTAGGGGATGTGTCATCATGCTCTAAGCGGGCAATCATGTCAGAGGAGCCTCCGAGGCAGATCTCCCAAGGCCAGTCAGAGCGGGAGGAGACTGAGAGCAGCGATGAGCAGCTGCCTGCACCCAGCCTTCTGCCCCCACAGGACTTCCCCTACTTGCTGACCCTCCAGGGCGACAACCCAGACTCTGATCAGATTCTGTATCCCCTGGATAGTGTTTCCTGTCTCGTCGGGCATGCCTATGACTCCAGAGCAAAGGCAGATGTGGAACTGGATTCCACAAATGTTAACCGGGAGCACTGTCGAATCCTGACACAGTACATTACAGTTGGCAACAATCCCTTTGACATGTCTGTTGAGCCCATTGGAGAATCCAGAGTCCTCATAAATGGTGTGCCAGTTTCTAAAAGAACCGAACTAATCCATGGGGACATGATTGGCATCGGTGATCATTACCTCTTCCTGTTGAAAAAGCCACTTGCCCAGACAGCCAATGAATCTTCACTGATGAGACTGTTATCCCTTGCCAACCAGTCAGATTCCTCGACCCATTTGTCCGGCAGTCCAAATTCGGAGATGACTTCTCAACCAAAGTATGCAAGTCTGCACATAGCAACCAAGGCTAAGGAATACTCAACCGACAGCCAGAGACTCAAGTTGTCCTACCCGATGAGAAGAGAGGACGAGTTACTGAGTGAGATTGCATTGCTCTTCCCAGGGTCTCTTGCTGTCGATGAGCGTAAAGAGTTCACCCTCTCACTGTCGTACCTGGCCTGTATGTGCGTGGAACACTCAGCCTACAACTTCCGCCAGGAGAGGACCAAACGACTGATGATGAAAGTGGCCTCTCTGATTCAAGCACTGGCCTGGGTAAGGTTTCTCTTGACAGTTAACTTATCTGGAGTGATTTCATGTTTGGGGATAGGCATGAGTTCATTCACAACTAGCAACCTCTTTAAATACCGGTAAACTGTATTTACGAGGTTTACAATACCGATGAACTTACTCATCCTCAACAAATTTTTTTCATATAAAGTTGGCAACGTTTATTTTTTTGCTGCATATTTCTGTGAAAAATAGACACTTTATGAAAATTGCATTGGAAGACCATGATCAGAACATCAACTGCAGCTTAAGCAAAGACACGTAGACTCAGGGGTCCCAAATCTCTCCTTTGCAAAGCTTTTCATAAAGACCACTGATTTTGTGATAGGTTTCCCTCTATAATAATCAGCCATCAAACATTAATATTGCACGACCTTCATGAAAATGATCGGTTGTGCATTACATGTTCATAGCATTAAATAGCAAAGTTATGAAAGAGAAACCACTAACTGCGATCCCTCAACGTGCCTTTTATTTCCTAGCACAGGCAGCCCTCCAGCTGGTATCAAATCAGCTTTCAAATATGGTGAGCTCTCATGGTTGGGTCCTACATGTAGTCATCGCCACAAAATTTACCCTTGAACTTCTGTTACTAAGTTTGAACTCATTGTTTCCAATTTGTGTCTTCACTTGTGTTTTTTAATAGGTGAAAATAGATGACATGCGGTTTTTGTCATTCGTTTTCCATTCAATCCTTTTCCCACAGTTTCCATCAAAATACCCCAACAGCCCCTTGGCACTGTTTTTCCCCCTTGTCGGCAGCTTGAGACCCTTTGTCAAGCCTAATGGCCAGCACAATGTGCCGTTACTGTCCCCTGTGTACTCCGTGTAATTGGGATATTAATTATAGACAACCTGTGCGAGGGCTCCTTGGCAGCTAGTCCCCATGAATGTTTCAGCAGCCAAGCCATGACATTGTGCACAGGGAGTTGCGAACGGCTCACCTTTTTTTGTGCCCATTAAAAATTTACTGGCTGAAAATGTTGCCACTGTAACAGGTTTTTGTCATGGCTTGTCACTAGTTATCCAGTGCATAACATCCTGGTGGATGGAGATAATTGGGTGCGCATCTCAGTATTTTCTAGCATGCATTCGTTTTTTTTTCTTTTACAAGGGCCGTTCTTTTTCACTATAAACACCTTTTGACTAATGTCACAATAACATCAGTAAATGTGTCACCATGAATCTAAACACCTACATGTATTTTCTGATACGTTCCACTGAAAAATGATGCTGAGCACCCTTCCCCCAACCCCAACATTTTTTTTTTTTCATTTGGGGGAATGAAGATTTTTTTTGGATGGAATTTTGAAAAAGGTGTATAACACACAAAGAGTATTAAAACTGTGTCTCCCATTGCCAGTGCTTTTTGGACTCCATTTGAAAAAGACACCGCAGGTTTAGAACATCATTGGGATTGAAACGTCCCAACAGGTGACAATTAATTATTTATGAGAGTCTATTCAATCATTCATGAGGCTTCAGGCTATCTGCCCTACCCCCCCCACACCTTGTGTGCTTTGGATATTGATTTTTATATGGATGGCCGTTCCTGAGGGGGGGATTTGCAGGGAGTTTGACCACAGGTTCCTAATCCCTTTGCCAGTCAGCCGAAGTGCATCTGCCTGTGACCACTTGTCAGAATTGAAAAGTGGGATCTGCATGCACACAGATCGAAAGAGGATGTGTGTTTGTTTACAGAGGAGGGGGCGGGGCGTCATATGCCTGAAGGTTGTGTACAACGTTGCAAGCTTTATCCACATGCCCCAAAAGTTTAAGCTCCAAACAAAAACCTCAATTGTCTTGAAATCGAATGATACGTGTTCCTGTTCTTCCTGGGACTTTCTTCCTGGGACAAAAGGTCCTTTTGTCTTCAGCAGTTTCAGTGTCTTTGCGAATGTTTTAACATTTGATTCTGAGATGCATTATTGCCAGTTTTATTAAATTGTGGGGAAACCCGGGAAAATACGGCTTACCGTTTACACAAGCTTTGATTTAACTTCTTGGCTAGGGTGAACTATTCCATGAAAATCCCACAAAGATTCCTGGAAATGAATGAGAACATTTTTTTTGTTGTTGATTTGTTTTTTCTTGTTTATTTAGTGGTGAAGTTAATGTTAATTTCTTGCATATTACTGGAAATGAATGAGAACTTTTTTGTTGTTGATTTGATTTTTCTTGTTTATATAGTGTTGAAGTTAATGTTAATCTCTTGCATATTACTGGAAATGCTTTCAAATATCCTGCAAGTTTAGAATTATAGTATCTCTTTCCCACCTCCATTTCTGTTCAGGACAAGACCAAGGAAATGGCAAGAACTCAACCAGAAAAGTAAGATTGCTAAATTAACGTCTTCTTAAACTGAAAGTCCAGAAAATAGTCAGTTGGAAATTTAACTTGAGATGGTTGTATAAGTAACTTCAAGTAAAAGCATGGTACCTTGAGTGTCCCAGGAAGGGGCAAGGGGTGTGATTGCTCCCCCCCCCCCTGCTGGTTAAAAAAAAAGACATAACGGTACATGAATATGAAAAGGACAAATGCAAAACAAATATAACAAAAACAAAAGAGATGAAAGAGGATTAAGATCACCAAGTTGCCAAGGAAAAATCCTCATAATTGACCCTCTAGCCATTGTAATTTTTTAAAGCTGATGAATGTTTTGCCCCCTGCAGAATTTTCCCACCTGGGAGAAAAAATGGTTTGTTCCATATCAGTTTTATTTTTCTAGTAATCAAACACAGCAATATGGCAAACTTGTCAACTGATATTTATATTCAACAGTTGATAGCCAGTGGCCATTGTATTGTTTTTGAAGATGCTAAGACCTCCTAAGCTGTCCTCTTTCACAGTGGGGGAGTCTGGGTGGTGAATTCCATCTACATGTAGATTGGCGTGTGGATTTGGTTTTTAGTCCCTACTTGATTCCAAGGATTCTCCGGAACATTTACCCAGGGCTTTCCTTTCACTTCTAACACTGACCATTTCTTCATTTTCTTTTGTATCATCGCTTCATCTTGTAATTAGAACTTTATGTGCCATTGGATGAACGGAAATAAACAACAAATGCTTTCTTCCCCCTCCCTCCCACACACCTTCTCCCTTTAGACCAACTGACGTCCAGACAGCCGTGGGGGCGCTCCTCCCCGACCTCAGGGTCATCGTCTGTCTCCTCACCAATGCCCTGGAGGTCCTCAACTTCCTTCAGGCCAGCATGGGAGACTACGTGGCCACGTGCCAGGGCAGCGAAGCCAAGCCGAGCCAGCTTGACACAGACCAGGATGAAGTGGGAGGCAACCTGGGGATAGAAGACGAGGCGCTGGTGGAGCTGGAGGAGGTGGTGATGTACACCTTTCAGCAGATGGTCTACTACCTGACCAAGGTGAGAAGGACCTCTGCATGCACCTGTTCCTCACCTCTGGGCAACTCACCCAAGTGGATACCAAGTCAGAGCTGCAGCTTGTTTGTCACAGTAGTGGTGGAATAATCTTAGGTCCACTTTGCAAGAGGGTACTGTGCATGTACTTAGTTGGATTACGAATGTGTTGACTTGGAATCACACAGTTTCCGAGAAAATATATGAGAAAACTCCACTTTTTCTATTCTCAACAAGGGATTTTTATTATTTGGGAAAGAAATTGTAATATTTCTCCCGATGCAGTGCTTTCAGTTAAATAAAATGCCCTGAATGCCATCTGTATACAATGTATAGTGGTATCACTGGTCTCCTGCTAAACTTAACGCCCAGTAATTTGCTTTATGTGCATAATTTAGGGTTTTATTTTATTTTTTAGTCTAACTGCAGACCCTTCCAAAGATAATCATCCAACGTATCAAAAAATTCTGGCCTAACAGATCTTTATGAGAGACTGATTGTGAAATAGCTCCCTCTGTGGTTGACACATGGAGTTGATAAACCAGACAGGCTCTATTTGCTGTCACCGAAGTTCAAGTTACTCAGATCACTGACGTATTAAGGAAAATATTAACAAGGGGCTTGATCTTTTTTACTTTGTGAAAAACGTCCTGTTGAAGAAAACAAATTTTAAAACAACTACAACAGAACAAGAAGAGCGCCAAAGTATTTTTTGTTTCCTTCAGAATTTCTTCAGCATTAAATTTCTTTGTATGCCAGTTTTGATTGTAATTTTGTTGAATCACAAATATTTTTAGTTTTAAAACATCTACAACAGACCAAGAAGAGCACCAAAGTATTTCTTGTTTCCTTCAGAATTTCTTCAGCATTAAATTTCTTTGTATGCCAGTTTTGATTTAATTTTGTTGAATCACAAATCCACATTATATTTGCAAACAGACCCGAATCCTGCTAAAATACCTTTTTGAGTTCAGTGCATGGCAGTAATTTTTATTGAAATCCTAACGGACTCCAGCATTTCAGCGTATTAACCCAAGACAATCATCCCGAGGGTTTTGAATGGTGTCCCATCCATTCAAATGTGGCAATTTGGAAGATTGAATACTCAAATTCCTGGACTGCAGAAGGAATTGCCTGGAGACCTACTGGAAATTAACAGATTGACTAAAATCAGCTGCCTGAGGCGAGCAAAGAGATTTGGCCTGGATGCCAGGAACTGCCCTGGATATCCAGGGAGGGCTGAAATCCTCACTGACAATTTTCAGATTTCCGTTGCATACCTGCTTGCCAGTTCTCTTGATTTACAGTCACACGACAGTGTTTTTCTTTTCGCACCCAACAACAATGTGTGTAATGTCAATATCCACTTTGTGATGTAGATCAAACAATAGGGAAATGTTGCAAGAAGAAACACCCTGTGAAAAGTCCACTTTGAGAACAAATGTACAAACACGCAGGTGATCTGGTTTAAATCCTCTAGTGCTATAAATTTATATAATTGCCATTGATTCTTGTCACCTAAGCGGTAACATTGACACTTCTGTTTTACTCACATGATCATATAGTCTGCTTCAAAAATGTCTGAAATGAGAGACCAATTGAGAATATGATCAAATCTCAGTTTCTCTTTAATTGTGTAAATTTTGATTTTATGTAATCAATCAGACTTTTTACTGATCCTTGTTTTCTTCCAAAAGTGCTTCAGTTTTACTCAAGATGCGCTTTTTACAGATACCACTTTTTTTTTTTTTAGAGTCAGTGCCTTTTATTTCATGAAAATTAATCCGTACAACCCCCAAGTTGCAGAGAGTGTGTTATTATCAAACAGGAGGAATAAGTTCCTGAATTGGAGACTTAGAGATGCTTGGTGGCGACAAACATATTGGCTCAACGTGACCAGTCCAGTATTGTTAGCATCATTCTGAGCATGTGCACATCAGCTTGAATGTGATAAAAACAGTAGCAAAGCGATCAGCATGTTTGCCACCACCAAGCGTCTTAAAAGTCTCTGGCTTTCATTACTGTGAATGACTGTTTGGTAACACTATGTCATTGTTGTGATTCAAGAGTGACTCATGTCAATCTCTCTCCACAGACTTTGCACATCGCCATCCCAGACTTCCTGGACACCAACCCATTCTCTGACAATGACGGCGATGACACTGACACCAGAAAGAAGGGCATGGACAGCGTCCTGTCGGTCTTCCAGATGACCTTTGACCTGATGCATGACCTGGCAGTCCACCCAGAGATTATGTCACAGCTGTTTGCGTACCTTTTGTTCTTCACCAATGCTTCATTGTTTAATATGCTCATTGAGAGAGGTAAATTAAGACTGGCCTGTTACCATATGTGACAACAAGGCAACCCTGGAAAACGTTTTACAAAGAAATTCATTTGATAGCTTTGTAATCTTGACTTAATGTTTTGAGCTCCAACTCAGGAAAAGTTTATGGCCTGGACAGATATTGGTTTCAGTGAATCCTGTTGCAAAGTTAAAACAACAATAATGGAATGTCTTTGTCCTTAAAATTGTAACATCGGTACCTACAATTTGCCTTGTATATATTTTAGAAGACTTCAAAGCTTTCAGCTTGAAAATTATGCCAATAATGGAAATCAATAGAAAAAAATGTGTAGGCTTCTTTTATATTCTGTTGGCCTTGTTTTTCTACTGGAAGGTTCAGATGGCAAGTTCTACAAGTGGTCCAAGGGGGCTCAGATTCGGGGCAACCTGGACGTGCTAGAAGCCTGGATACAAGATCACAGCCTGCAGGATCAAGCTAAATTTCTGATCAGGGTATCTATGGCAACTGACTTGCTGGCCACACCCAAAGTACAGCTCATACAGGTATGGGGAATTGCGATGATGAAAAATGCCAATTTTTTTGTGTGGTTCTGTCTCTTTAGATAAGAACCTCACTCTCAAGAAGTCAATTCCTGAATCCTATATTGTACATGTAGAATACTATGTTAACCACAGTGGCATGCCAGATGCAGTTGTTTGTTGACATTGTGTAATGAGCTCTATTTTTCTGTGGTGTATGAGGTTATGGGCCATTTTTTAATATCCATGGCCCAAAAGTGTGACATTTTTGTGTCCCTGTTTCACCTGATGTGAGTAATTTGACATGGAAGTACCGGTACCACTGAAAATTATTTCAAACTATTTCTATTTGATTTGCAGGTAAATGGCATTAATTCAACACTCTCGAAACTTAAAGAGTGTGTTCTGAACTTACAAAATCATATGTCAGACTTGATGGATATGAACAAAATCAGACCCCTAATTTATAGAATGACCCTTTACAAAAGGATCTTAGCAGTTTAAGCGAATTTTCAGCGTCGCATCTTATCTCATCAAACAGACGTGTAGTTTTAGGTTTAGAAACGAATAAGAAATTAGGAATATTAAATTTAATTTAATTATAATATTCACAGCCATTCACCTCTGGTTTGTTGCGTGCATGTTTTACCTCAAATCCCAGGACTAAAGTGGAAACAGCTGATGATAAATTTCGGAAGACAATTGTAAAAAGGGCCTTGTTCTTTACCATCAGAGAGAGTATGAGACGAAGACGTTGGTTTAGTCTTCTTGTGTTTGTGTCTCTTTGCAGGCTGACTGGACCTCCCTTAAGTCTGATTTCTCTGATCTCAACACTGTTCAGCTTCATCACTTCCTGAGCCAGTACCAGCTGGCTGCCAATCAAACTCGTCCTGTACATTGGCTTCCGCCTCCTGAGGAAATGAAGACTGCTACTGAAATAGGTCAGCGTTCATAGTGTCCTTGTGAGCCAGCACGGTATTCCAATCGCTTGTGCCCCAGATGAAGTGCCTGATTGGTCTTTTCATGGTACAGTCTGTGCAAGGTCTGGCCTTACACTGACCTGCAAAAGTGGACCTCGTTCTTGAATGACCATGCCCATTTGAAATCCCAAACGGCCTCATTATAAAGGAGTTACCACATCTCTTGAGGAAGGACTCAGTATTGGATCGGGTTTTGTATTTTAACCATGCAAATCCACCCTGAAAACTGTAATGAGATTAAAAAAGAAGGGATTTTTGGATATTTTATAACTTCATTCTGAAGGTAATCATTTTAAGGCAGTCGTTACAAAACTCTAATCCATGGTCTGGTCACTGAGTTTGAACTTCGCTTAATACTTGCTGAACTGACTGTCTGCATTATTTAGTACTTGATGAAATGCACCGAGTGCCCATTGTCACTCGGATGTCTTCATTGCTGAGTTTTAGATGTCCTTGTAGAGATCAACACTCCTCAACAGTGTTTTCATTTTAAAAGTTGGACTTTCAACCCCAGAATTATGTTGTATTGAAGACCAAAATGAACTACTGCTACATGTGTGCTGTCTTAAAATAGAGAAATAATTTTCATTTTGACAGAAATTTCCCACTGAAACTTGTAAAATTGTAACTTCTACCATCAGTTGCCAAAGTCTTAAGTAATACAATCCAGTAAGAAGATTTGTCAAATTTAGGGTTTTTGTTCTTACTTTGGCAGAAAACCTCTTTGAATCATTTGACAACCACCCAGCTCTGGCACTGCCCAATCATGGCTTCACGTTAGATCTGAGGCAACCAATCACCAGCCAGCATTTTATCGACCAGCTGCAGGAACTGAAGAGACATTTGCCGTACATTACCTTCAGCCCGGGTGAATAACATGGCTTTCACAGATCACAAAATTGCTAAGATATGCACATATTGGTCCCTGAGCACAGAAAATGATTTGTTCATTAAAACCTAACAATTTGCTTGACAAGTCTGTCTTCTTGAAATTTCCATGAGATGTTGTTTATATCTCATGGTGGCTGGAATATGACTTTTTTCAGGAAAAACACGAAAACTGCAGTGAACATCACACTGACAGTAAAAGTCCTTTTTTTTCAACTTGGGACTTTGAGATGCTTGGTGGCAGCAGACAGATCAATTCTTTTAGCATGCTCAGAACTGTGCATTGAAACATGCATTGCAGTGTTAACTGGAATGATACAATTAATGCACAAAATATCAATAATTGTTACTCACAATTCAATGCAAAATTAACCATGCTTTTTGATGAATTTGTTGCATACAAAAGATACAAATGTGAAAAGACAAAACATAACCTTTGACTCACAAAAGGTCTTTTGAAGTCAATCAGGCGGAAGAATGATACGTATAAGAGCCACCGAAAGAACCTGGGCCAAACTAGTAAAATAAAAAAAAAAAGAATTGAAACAGGTTAACAAATATTTTGCAAACTGCGAAGAAAAAGGCTTCTCTGCAGCATTTGAGAAGGAAAAATGAAACATAACAAATACATGGAAAATAGTTAATGACGTCCTGAATAGAAATTAAAAAAAAATTCATCAGGTTGTTTTTCATTCGAAGTGAATAGCCTAAACCTAGATGATTTTTTTTTTTAGCAACTAATCGCTGAAAACTTTAATAATTTCTTCACAAATATCGGTCTGGAGCTTGCTTCCAAGATCCCACAAGTCAATTCCAATCCCACAGATTTTATAATTGGTGACTTCAATGATTCATTTTTAATGAATCCAATATCTGCAAATGAACTTTTCAAATGCACAGATAAACTACCGTCCAAAAAGAGCCCTTGACATGACAATTTGAGTGCATCCCTTGTAACAAAAATTGGACGTGAAATTGCTTCTCCTCTGTTAAAAATTGTTAACCTATCGTTTTATCTGGAACCGTGCCAAATGACTTCAGAATTGCTAAAGTAATTCCTGTTTTTAAAACTGGTGATCCACAGCTTATATCCAATTACTGTTCTATTTCTGTTCTACCATGTCTTCCCAAAGTCCTAGAATGACTGGTAGCAAATCATCTGGATCCATTTTTAACCAAGTATATCTTAACTAAGTCACAATATGGATTTCGTGAAAACTACTCGACCCGAATGGCTCTAGTTGATCTTGTTGATAAAATTAGTTCATCTTTAGACAAATCTTTCATACTATTGCATTGTTTCTGGACCTGTCCAAGACATTTGATACAATTGACCTTAATATTTTTCTTTCAAAACTAAACAGATTTGGCATTAGAGGAGTGGCTTTGGATTGTTTTAGAAACTATCTTTCTGACCAAAAACAGTTGTCCAATGGAAACATTGCTCATCAACTCTTAAACCTATCAGATGTGGTGTTCCACAAGGATCCATCCTAGGTCCTATTCTTTTTCTTCATTTATATCAACGACATTTGTAATTCTTCGAGTTTGGCATCCTTTATATTATTTGCAGGTAATACTCATATTTTATACAGTCATAATCATTTAAAAGAAGTAGTCACTACTATAAACAAAGAGTAATTCTCTTTCTATTAATGAAAAAAAGACATCTTATATGCTCTGCTCTAATACCGATAGGAATAGTATTATCAATGTATACGTTAATAATTCAAAAATATGTCAAGTAAGTTCTTTCAAGTTTCTTGGTGTTATTATTGATAAAGGTTTAAACTGGAAACTGCACTTCCAGCAGATCCACATGTCAGTTTCATGTATAGTAGGGATTTTGTGGAAGCTGAAATATTGCCAACAAATGTACTACTTTCTATTTGTAATACCCTAGTTTTGCTCCTTCTTCAGTATGGATTGTTAGTTTGGGGAAACTCCCAGTTAACCTCTATGAATAAATTATTAATATTACAAAAAAAATCGCTACGGGTCCTGGAGACCATATCAAATCGCTATTCCAGAAACTTAACACCCTATCGTTTTTCAACTTACACAAATATCATCTAGGTATCCCAATGTTTAAATTTGAAAATAATCTTCTAGCCCCTGAAATCAAATCATTGTTTCTGAGGAATACTGAAGTCCACTCATATAATACTGGGTCAGCAGCCAATCTTCACATTGCGAAGGCAAGAACTACAATTTTTCTTAAAACAGTTCGACATGAAGGTATTTTGCTCTGAAATAAAATCACATTGTACTTGATATGTACTTGATTGTTCTCACAAGGTCTGTTATTTTGCATCATTAAATTACATAGGCTCTAAGCAGACAGACTTTTAAACAGGGTATTACTCTTTGGCAAACTGACTGTGCAAACTAAGGTTTGCACAGTCTAGAATCAAATCACGGGAGGGGTCCCAGAAGTTGGGACGGGGTCACCTCAAGAAAACACAGTTGTTGATTCATCCAGTTCTTTTTTTTTTAATACAAAGCATTCCAACTAGACAATTTGGACTGTCCATGTCCACATGCAAGGCTTTATAGTGTATCCTGTCTTGAAATGATGTGTATGTTCATAAGGGTAAAGCCTAATAATAGTGAACAGAACCCTGATAGGTATTGTGTCAAGCAAACCATCCCCACTGTCCAGTGGCGTAAGTGGGGAGGAGGGGGCTTGGGGGTGCATGTATAGGGGAGCTCCAACCCTACTTCAAGGCCTGAGGCTTTGCTCAAGTGTTTTTACTGTGACCGAACCCACTGAGTTTCCCCTCCCAGAAACTGACGCTCCCCAAGTGCTCCCCCTGTGAAATGCATCCCAGTTTCCCCACTACCATTGTCTGAATGATCGCTGGTAGAATGCATCCACCAAACATTTATCAGTGTGGCCACATTTTTCCACACATTTCTGGTATATGTAACAGCAGAAGGTTGTTGATTTAACCCTTCACAAACACACAGGAAGTGAAGATGCAACAGGCAACAGTAGTCTGTCAGTGAATCAACCACCTGCTGAGAAGCCAAGCGTTCAGAGGGTACGTACGCCCAGCCCAAGCCGTGGCTACATCGGCCTGCCTGTACCACCTCCGCGTACCAAATCCTACAGGTACCCCCTGTCGGACCAGGCTACATCCGTCGAGGTCTTGGAGCGCCCCCTAGAGGTGGTGCTGGCCGCCCCTGTCAACCTGGCCAATACAGTGAAGTTGTCGCCCACGGAAGGGAATTTCCTCTCGAAGGATGACAAAATGAGCCCTCGTGTGTTTGCAGACAAGCCGCTTTCCACGAGCAAGGCAGTGAATGGAGTCTCAAAATCAGAGAGTTGCACAAAGGTTGGTGATGCACCAAACAAGCAGAACAACAAACAAAGTGATCTTTCTGAAATAAGCAGCACGCAGGCAGAAAGCGAGTGTACAAGGAGCGTTACTAGCACTCCCACTGTGATCACTCCAGCTGGGACCACTGCAGAGCTAATGAATACAGCCTCAGAACCTACTCATCTGTCGCACGATGTCAGAGTTGTCCAAGTCGAACTGCCAAAGGAAGAAGCCATCGAGAAAAGACTGCAGACTGGGATCGGAAAACGTGCAGATGGTATGTATCAGGTTTGTGACGTGCCATACTAAGCTGGAGTCTCATATAACCAGAGACTTCAATATAATGACAGTCCAGCCTCTCATATCACAATAACTAATAGGCTTAAGTAGCAATGTGTAATATGGTAATTTACTTGGTTACAAAAACCCTAGAGAAAAAGAATCCTGACTTGGAAACATTTTCTCTCAGTTTAATGACTCATAGTTGGCACTCCGTTGCTAGTTTTAGATTTTACATATCAAAATGTGGGGGTAATTGGTGGACAGAATTTTCCCTCCTCCCAAGCTATGTTGTGAAACCGCTCCGGTTGGAAATGTTCTTAGAATAGGCTATTAACTTTTGTGTTGCTTTTCTTGCCATTTTCAGGTCATTTGGAGGAATTTGAGGAACCTAAGAAGCCCTGCCCAACCCTGTCCTCGTCAGCATCCTCAGTCTCATCCTTTTGCTCATCTACATTGTCCGCAATTGCCACAGAGACGGAGAGATTCCCACAGAGGAAGGATGCGGTGGATGACGTTTTTGTTGTGGACTTGGAAAAAGGAGAGGAGGGGGTGGGGCTTGGACTCATTGATGGGATGGTGAGTGGCTGTTGTTAATCACCTGCTAGAGGAGATGGGGAAAGGATTGAGCCTGGTCCTATTGATAAGAAAATGAGTGCATGTTATAATTGCTTGTGGAATGGGCGTTGGGGTTCTGAGAAGATAGAGGAAGGGTGTGGCTGGGACCCATTGATGGTGGGATAAATGATGGATCATTTTTTTTATTAAGGTGCTGGTTCTTTGTATTTCCAAACTACCGAATGCAGCACACCCCTTTGCGTTCCCAAGGCATCTTTGTCCGCAAGCTGGTACCTGGCAGCTCAGCAATGCAGAACGGCAGGCTAATAGTTGGGGACCGGATCTTGGCCGTCAATGGGACCAGTCTGGTAGGAGCAGATTACAACAGGTAAGAGACTGCACCAAAAAATTGCCGACGTTACCTGTAAAAGTTTACATTTTGAATTTGTTTGCTTTTCTTAACACTCAAAAAGCCAGTAAACAGAGCCTGTGTGTACATTTCCATGGCTCTGCTTGCTTGAATTTTTTTCCTGTAGGCAAAAATTCTGTGCAGATTTAAAGCACATTTAAAAGATTAGCCAAAAATGTTATGTATGAGCATGCATCTAGTAAGCAAGGAAAGTGTACACATTACTGACATTTATTTGTGTCAAACCTCCATGTGGAACTTTCTATAAGAGGATGACAATAACAGAATGACTTCTACCACAACTTAATGAGCTATACTTGGCTAATGATCATTTTATAGAGGCACACTGTCCTCTTTATTGATTCTTATGTTGTATTTGTAGTCCAGATATCATAATTTTACTAAGATGTATTGTTCTTACCAACAACTGATTGCTGATAGATAAACTTAAAACCACTCGTAGTCACTTTGGTAAAAAGGGCCACAAGTCAAACTCATCAACAAATCCTCCCCTAAAAAAAATAACAAAGTCCCCAAGATGCAGAACTGTTGCAAGCCCTGTATTTCATGGGACAGGGAACCTCAAATTAGAACTTGTAGTTAGAAGGGTAGTAATATTGGTCTTGATGTACCAGTGATCCGTTCCTGCATTTTCCCCCCTGTTTAGTGCCATGCATCTGATCAGAACATCAGGCAAGAAACTACGTTTCCTTGTAGCCAAGTCCGAGCCCTCGGTGGCCCTGAAAGTCACCGCATCTGCCTGCTGATGCCTGACCGAAGGCTGATCCCTCTCGCATTCCAACGTGCTCTGCACCTAATAGCATAAGAAGTTTGCTTTTTGGTACAGAGGCCAAGGTGCATTGCTTTGTGAAGTGCAGTCTATAAACCAGGAAGTAACCGTGGTACAGAGTTATCAGCATTGAAATGCATGCACTCCACTTCAGCAGTACCATCTGCCCGTTGATTCAGATAGGCTTGTACCAATGCTATATTTGACCTTTACAATACATTGCCATGTAAAATATTGATCAATGATACCACTATTGCCACAGTCGTTGATTATTTTAAAGTGTATTTTCATTCAGACTGTTGTTGCTTTGTTGTCCCTCCATTTTGGTCTTGCATGTTGAGAAGCTTTTGACGTTGAGCTGTGGTACAGGGGTCAAATGCAGGTGCTTAACTTCAGCCAAGCTGATTGTCTGTTAATTTTCACCGATATGCTTTTACCATTGTTATGTAATTTACCATTCCAATTTATCGCAAAAATATATCCCATGATATATGATACTATCGCCATATTAATTGAATTTGTAAGTGTACTTTCACTCAAACTGTAGTGGCTGTTCCATCGTTTTTGTAAACATGCGTTTACTAGTGGTTTATGCCCGGAAATTCGGAATTTCATGAAGACTGTCTTTTCATGGCAGTCCTACGCATCACTGTCGCAAAAATAATACACTACTTAAAAGTACTAAGTGAATATGTCATGCACACAATTATGTGTGTGCAAGACATTAGCACAAGAATCAGTTTGTGATCCAGCACACGCATACTCCATTCATTTGCTACATTGCAGTCAAAAGGATGTCACACTTCAGTACTCTATATGAGGTGAAGTTATTGTAATTCACTAGAAATTAGTTCACGTTGCAGTAGTCATGAATAAGTGGCCGCGAATGACAACTTCAAATCATGGAATCCTTATTCTGTACTAGTAGGGCTGTGCATGGTACCCTGCCATTGATGCGGGGACCGGTGCCTTTGTTGGGATACACGCTTCTACCGGGTACCCATAACAACTTTGTAAATGGGTTTTCAAACAAGTTTTGAAAAGGGTTTTGCTGGACAGTTTCAAGAGAAAAACTCAGCGGGGGTATCTAGGATGCTAAAATAAATCTTCTTTATGGCCTAAGTTGATGATTAAGAGAACTATTGGCCATTAAATGTATTTTTCATGAAGCCTTGTTTTGCCCTTCATTTGAAGTTTGAGGTTTCTTTCATGGGTGTGTAGGTACTTGTATTAAATGTCAGTAGCATATCCAACTCCATGACTATACACATGAATAAATGCGGCTATTGAGTGGCTCACTATCACCTTCTGTCTTTTCCTGTCAAGTGTATTATACCTGGTTGTAAGGAACCAAGAAATCCCATACCCCATTGCCAGGCAATAAACCTACCTGTTTAAACCTACATGGCCTGGTTACACATGTTCACTTTGCAAAAAAGGGACTTCCCCGCAATGAGAAATACCTGTAGCACTCGTGACTGGGTGTGGGTTTGTAAAATCAAATGGTTTGAACGTGTTCCATCCAGTATGCTAAGTACACAAAGGCCCAACTCAAATTGCACAACTTACTTCAAGGTTTCGTCATGATTAGAACTGGTTTGTTTGCACATTAGAGTGCTATAGACATGTAACTGTTTGGAGAAGTCCCTGATGCCTCACTAGCATAGTCTGTTGCCAGTTAATAGGATTTGTAGCATTAAGGACTGTTTTATGTACATGTAATTTTGTGTTTTCTCTTTGCAAATTACAGTTATCAAAATAATTTAAGCACAAAACTAATAACAAGGATACAGTCCACCCAGTAATGTTTTCTCTAGAATTATTGCTCTAAATTGATGTGTACAATTGTCAAAGCTACGTATGTTTAGTCTTGATATTGAAGTTAATATTGGAATTTTACTTGATGGAAGTGTGCACGTTGTCATTCCAGTACATGTACATGCATATCATGTGGGTATTAAAACAAAATCTCATCCAGTCCAGTACTTGAGCAGTGAAATTTCATCTCGAGCTTTAGCCTGAAACACTTCCAGATAGGAGGTACTTTTGAACTGCTTTGCAGAATTTGTGGACATACCTTTGCAGGTGGAGATTAGGGAAGTGGGGGAGGGGTCGACACCGCCACCCCCATCCTGACACCTCCCAAATATGAATAAATGAAAATTAAATGACAATTGTAGTAAACACAGAAAAGGACGATATATTACACGTGTTAAGGTAAGTGCATCAGGAACAATATAGTGCATTATCGTATCCCTTCTCCTACACAATCAGAACCAAAAAAATCCAACTTGCCTGATCCCTGCTCCTGAAAATTTCTGGATTTTGACAAAACAGGTGTTCACTTTGTCATTGGTTGTTTAAAACGTCCATTCATGGGTCACTTTTGCTTGGTAGAGAGTGCTATGGAGTGAATTTTTATGTGTGGCCTTTAACAGAAGTGGTAAATTTCTTTGGCTGTCCAGTATATAAAATTAAGCCTATCTTTTTGGCAAGAAATCGTCAGCCTACGAGATAAAATGATCTTTCGACTTAACTGACTTTGAGTTATTAGCTTTTATTGTGCGTCGCCCTGACCGCTTAACTTCTGCTGGATGTTGGACACAGGCAAGAGCTGACGCACAGTCCACGCAGGTCCACCATCCAGCCTGCAAAAAGTATTTAATTTGAGGACTTAAAATTCACTTTTTGTGGTGACTCTCATTTGCATTTTGCTTACTTTTGTTAGGATTGCAAGTGTAGTGGTACTATTGACGTTGCTTTGTACATTTACATTCTGTACTGGTGCTTCAGCAGGCAGCACGATGACCATCATGGTTGGATCCGCAGTGCTGTGGTGTGGCTTATATACCAATTTTAAATCTTAATTTGCTGATTTTTGCATTGTGTGGCTTATACACCGGGCAATTTATATTACAAAAATTATGGTACTCAAAGTGCGCAAACACTTCAGTGTTTCCTGTACAAATCTGAAAAAAAGTGGACAAAAATGTGGTTCCCAGAAACTAACAAACTCATTATTTGCCAGTCAAACTAACATCCAGAATGTATGTTTATTGACCATGGCCCGGTTGCACATGTTCACTCTCAAAAGGAACCTCCCCTCAATGAGAAATAGCACTCTTGCCTTAGGACATGTGCGATCAATTGATTTCTATTGTGCCAATTCAACAATCCTAACACTAACACAACTTAGTACTAAGGGATTCTTTTGGTGAATTTCCCCCACGTTTTCCCTCTGTAGTATATGTACTGAGTGAGTACTGCTTTGCATAAAATAAATCGTGCACACTCTTACCAAATCATATTCTATCAACTTGCAAAAGTTTAATCAAGTTACATTCCAGTGTTTGCTCTTTTAAATGTTTGAAAAAAGTATCCCAGACTGACATGTAATGTTGTCAAAGCTAACAAATCATATATTAGTCTGGGTGATATGTGTATTGATATTTACTGGGTGAAGCCATCTAGTCATTTTGGCTCATAACTATAAAGACTCTCCCAATCATTTCGTAGCCAGAGCCATACCCTCGGTTATAATTCTACCTTTTTCATTGTTAGTAGTACTGGCATTGTAGGTAATTGTTGTTACCATTTAGGAATTTCTGCCAAAACAGGCAGTACCAAACGGCTGTCTATGGATAATTAATTTTTATGTTAACTCTAGTAAGTGCACGCAACTCCATGACAACACACATGAATGTATATCATTATGGAGCAGCACACTACAACCTTCTGTCATTTCCAGTCAAGTGTATTATGGTTGTACAGAACCAAGAAATCTCATTATTCAGCCAGTCAAACAAATACCCTGTTTCCAGGCATTAAAACCTACATGTTTAATGGCTATGGCCTGGTTACACATGTTCACTTTGCATCAAGGGACTTACCCTCTATGAGAAATACCTGTAGCACTCAATGTGGACGTGTGAAATCAACTAGTTTGAACTTGTTTATGCTAAGAACGCAAAGACACAACTTCCTGTCGAGGTTTCACCATGATTAGAACAGGGGCCAATTTCATAGAGCTGCTTAAGCACAAAATTTGCTTAAGCGTGAAAAAACCTTACTTGATAAATCAGGTAACCAGCCAAAACTCCATGTAATGTATATTGTTTTGAGATTGTATTTTGCTGTTTTTTGGTTAGCATGACAATCAGATAGTGTTTGAGCTGGTAACCTTTGTTAATTATGCGATTTTTTTTCCCGCTTAAAGCAGATTTTGTGCTTAAGCAGCTCTATGAAATTGGCCCCTGGTTTGTTTGCAAGTGAGAGTGCTATAGACATGTAACTGTATGGAGAAGTCTGCATAGTCTGCCTCCAGTTAATAGGATTTGTAACATCTAGTATGTGTAATTATGTGTTTTCTCTTATGTAAATCATATTTTGTCAAAAACCTAACAAGGAAGAATTCCACCCAAATATTTCATTCCTTAATTGCTCAAAATTGACCTGTTTAAAATTATCAAAGCTTATCATATACATGTATCCGTCTTAAAAGTGAAATTGATATTTGAAATTTTACTGGATGGAAGCATGCACATAGTCATTCCAGTACACACATGTACATGTGCATACATGTGCATAAAACAAGACAAAACCTCACCCAGTTCTATATTAGAGTGCTAACCTGTGAGTCAAGTTCAGTGCTGGTATGAGTTATGTTGCTGCTTTATAACGTTACCCCGAAACACTGTCAGATATGAAATAGGCAGTACTTTTGAAGTGCTATGTAGATTGGGTGGGGATGGGGGTCAGTGCACCTGATTTGGACACCAACCAAATGGATAAATAACAATAAAATGGCAATCGGAGTAATAATGGAAAAGGATGACACTCCGTACTCCATGTGTAAAAGTAAGAGCATCAATTACATCTACATTGTAATGCATTATCTATGTATCCTTTTCCCGCATAATTGGACAAACAAAAATCTAATTTGTGGTCAGCTCATGTCGACCACTCAAAATATGGATTGATTTCATTTTGCCATAAAAAGCATGTACAAGTATTTCCACTTATTAACCACTGGATTTTTTTTCTTCACATGTGCAGTTGGACATCATATGCCAAGGAGTCAATCATGCTTTCCTTAACGACCAATAGCAAGCTGCTTTTTCTGGTGGGGGAGTTGACAACTGCAGGCATTAACCCTTGTTGAAATTGCAGATTTTTGCCAATCAAACAGTTGACAGTTTGTGGAACCTAAGGATAGGTTTTTTGTGGTGTTTCACTCTTGGAATCTGAACATCATGGTACTTGCTTTCTTACTGAGTTACTTCAAAATGTAAAAGTACTCAAAATGATTATCATCAAGGAAACAAGCTGTACTTTCATTAAAATTTAGACTCAGGTCTTAGATTCAATTCTCTATAAACAAGTGACTTTACCAGCAAAAAAGGGTTCCAACAACCTTTTTTGTCTTTTCATCGTTTTGGGGAATTGTACATGAGACGATTGAAGTTTACATTACTTAATTGTTGAAATACTCTGATCTTAAACTAGAAAAAAGTAGTTATTGCATAGAATAAGTTTCATTTCTTTTGCTATGCAGATTTCATGCTTAATTTCATTTGTTCATAACTGAAAACTGGCTTTGACAGCTTAGATTTAATTTGGGAGATCAAGTTATGGTGTGTGTTTCCAATTTTTTGTTCACACATGCTAGAAACAGCTGTGTCAGTTACTGCAGATGTAACTGAGCATGACACACTGATCATATCTCATCAGTCAGATGTGAATCTGACTGAGGAGATACGATCAGGTTTTGTGGAACTGAAAATTTGATGGTTATGTATCAATTTTAAATCTCAAGCACTGACAAATATATTTTGGCACAGTCCGTAAATAAGGTCAGTAGTTCATTTCTGATGATATCTTCTCCCTCTGAACTTCCAATTTCTTCCATGAATTTTTGCTGCATTTAGACCTCAAGATCTGAATAATGTCAACCAACTGTCAGTCTCGAACTCTGTCTGGAAGCAAGTACTTGACCCCCCCAACAAAAAATCAGCATCTGTTTCATTAGCCAATGCAGCAGTTTGTGTTGTTGTTGAAGATAGATCTTCATTTGTGTCTGTGCTGAGTTTAATTGGATTCAATGATGGAAGGTAAGTTCCTATTCTGAGATGAATATTACTAACAATTAGGCAAACCTGGGATAAAAGGACAGTGTACCTCCAAACCTGCAGTATCTCATAGTCTGTGGTGGGTGGGGATCAATACAATACAACCTTTGTATATGTGAAGATTTTGTGTTGTTTTTCTTTTGTGGTGTTTTTTCAATTTTTAGTTGAAAGTCCTTGGTGATTAAAATGTGGGATGGAGATGGATTTTCATTTAACACTTTTAACACGGGACATTGTTTGTTAAATGTTGTAGAGTGATCATTGTTCAACCAAACATGCCCATAATGCTGCTTTTAACATTATTTTCAACAATTCTTAAGAGGAATTTTCAGTGTGAAGTCTACAATTTTGCCTCTTGCTTTCATTGGAGGAATGGATTGGAGTGTGTGCCTCTGCCAGCACTCTGTGATTTCTTTGCTTCTCTTGGCTCTGTCGGTTCATCTGTGGCAGTGTTCACGATGAAGACTCGTTAAAAAAAAATCAGTTTGAACATCCCATGCTTCAAGACCAGTAGTTGTTGAGAAGTTGGAGTTGACTCCAAACAGCTCGTGAATCACCCTGATACCCCTGTATTGGGATTTACAGGACACTGTTATGGTGCTATTGGTGTTGTTGATATTCCCTGCTTGGTCTGTAGGGTTGGCAGTTGTTGAAGTTTCTATAATACATGTACTATTATTTGGGGGGGGTTCAACGTCAAACTGAAGGCATGTCCAAGTCAACTGGTTGCCATTGGGAACTATTAAAGTGCACGAACACTCTAGTGTTTCCTTTACAAATATGGAAGACAATGTGGACAGAAATGTGATTCCAAGGAACCAACAAAGCTCATCATTTGCCAAACTAACATTCTGTTGCCAGGCAAGAAGAATACATGTTTATTGACCATGGCCCGGTTGCACATGTTCAAATGGAATTTCCCCTCTATGAGAAATAGCACTCTTGCCTATGGACATATGCGATCAACTGATTTTTCCATTTTGCCAAATACACAATGGTCTGAACTCTAACAACACAACTTACTAAGGGATTCTGCAACAGTGCTTTGTAACTTATGGAGAAGTTCATGCTCTCTTGTTATATTTTTGTCATTTTAGAACAACATGGTTTTTTAAATTTTGTTTTCAATTTCTTCAAAATGCGAGACATGTATTCTCAAGGGGTCACGTCACATCATTAGGAATGACATACCTGTGATGTACGGTAGCACTGTCCATCAAAGCTTAACTGTAGAGTAGCATCACTTCATTGTAAGGAAACATAAGGCTCTGGATTCTGTTTCCTTTCTCAAAAGAAAGAAATGCACCCGCTGAAAAGATACTCAAAACCTTTTTTCCTTTGCTTTATCTTTTTGAAGTGTAGATGGGATGAAGTTAGTTTTCTTGATTGGTGTTGCTTTGATATTACTGTGATCTTAATGAAGAAATACATATCTTTGATTATATCTAAACATTGCTTAAAACAAGTATCAGTTTGCCTACATATTAGATATTATGTTTGATTTAATTGCTTAATATCTCAAAACTAGCTTTGAAAACTTTGTTTCAGTTAGATTTATTTTGTAGCATCAAGTCATGTGTGCATTTTTAACTTTTTGTCAGTCATTCCAGGAACTGTAATATCAAACGTGTGAGATGTAACACAGCATGAGTGATTATCAAACAAGATACATAATTCATGTCGCACCGGACCAATGAGATATGACCAGTTTGGGTAAAAATGGAGAATTTGATGGTGATTGTGTATTAATTCTTCAACTTCAAGCACCAAAAATGGGTACAATACATAAAAGATCAGTAGTAAATTTGCAGTGACTTCTCTCTCTCAACTTTTTTCTCACGCCTTTAGTTCCAGCAACTAAACTTCAGGATTTGAACATCAAACTTCAAGTTTTGTGACCTGCTTTTTCGTGATAGGTTTGGCTTCATAACACACTCATTGTGACTCATGGCACTTAATTTAAATGACTTATGTGTATCTCAAAGCTTACAGTGTATCTCTTAGTCTGCTGTGGCTGCAGGAAATTACATACAAAGCAATTTAATTTGCAAAAGGAATCAGGAAAAGTGTGTTATTGATTTTATCCCCACAGCCTCCATTTGTTTTTGTTTTTTCCAAAAACATTTAAATCGGCACTTTTGTTCTGATATCTTTTGCAATTGAAGTATGCATGCTTCAAGGCTTTGACTGACTCGGACAGATTTGCCTCATATTTCACAAATTTAGTGGAGGTTTTGTGCACAATTTTCAATCTGCCTGCTTCAATTTATTGGAGGAGTGTGGTTTATGTCTTGACCAGCACTGTGTGCTCTCTATGTGTCTTTACTTTATAGGGGTCATCATATACCCGGCTGTTTTTCTGGATGGAAATTATAGACAGAGAAGATTTAGACCATAGGCAATTGCTATTATGGATCTCCTGGCAAACTTGTATGGGCAATTTTCTGAAGCTATCATAGTATCATTAGTTAAGCTGGAGTTCCCAACTAGCTTGGTCTGTTCTTGAAGTTAAATGAACCACAGTATTTTTAATTTTTTTGGTTTGGTTTGTTAATTTGTTTCTTGGGAGGACAGAGTTGTTGGTATGTTGTGCTGAGGAAATTTGTGCTGTATTTGGTCTGGCTCCTCACAACCTGAAACCTACCAATATAGTATCTGGCAGGGGAGTCCAAGCTCCTGTCAGTGTTGGTTTCAGAGTCGTGGGAGCACACAAGCCTCTCCACCACGTCAAGGTAACAGCACATGGAGAGGGCCCCCCCTTCCTTTTTTTGTGTGTGTTTTTTTTTTTTTTTTTTTTTTTTGGGTTTTTTTTTTTTTTTTTTTTTTTTGTTTTTTTTTTTGTTTTTTTTTTTTTTTTTT